GCAATCAGTCTTTGTATCTGGTTTTCAACCACTTTTTGACCGCAACGCCATCTATGAGAAATCTATGACAGTATTTCGTCAGTCGGTGAAAAACAAAGATCCGACAAACAATCACATAGAAAAATTCGTGAGGTCCGCTGATTCGTTCCGTGGCTTAGTTGGCATAGCGTCTAAAAGACGTCGGCTCGAATCCGGCCGGATCGAGGGATTTTTTTCTAAGTGTTCGATATTTGTATTAATACATAGGGCTTCAAACTGTTTTTGGCGATGAAGCACCATGCAAGATGACTATTTATAGCTGGTTTGCAGAATCAAACGCGGTCGTGTGAATCTCAGCGACGAATTTCGTGATGGTCGCCCGTCCACTGCTGTGAACAACAAAAACATCGATGCTGTGCGCCGTATGACCAAAACAGACCGGATGTGACATACCATGAAGTTCGGGCATCTTTAGACATAGGCATGAGTCAAATACAATCAATACTACACAAACATTTGGGTGTGAAACAATTGTGAAAAAATCCCACACAATTTGACTGAGGCTCAAAAAACGGATCGCGTCACTTGGTGCAATGCCATGCTTACCAGATTCAACGAAGGGGCACCAAATTTGGTGTGGGACATAGTAACAGGTGACGAAACATGAATTTATAGTTACGATCCCAAAAGAAAGCAGCAATCGAGCGTATGGGTCTTTCAAAATGAGCCGAAACCAACCAAAGTGGCACGCGTACAATGTGACTCTATGCGGATGATTGCTTCTTTTTTAATAAAACTGTACACGTGGCTACTGTTGCTTTGAAGAATCGTTTGCCGAAAGTTATTGACAAACTCTGTAAAAAGAACCGTAAACGCCGTATCATCTTGCACCACTATAATGCTAGTTCTCACACGGTCAGACAGACAAATGAATTTTCGAAGGTGAACAACGTTGACCTTATGAGCCATTCCGCGTACAGTCCCGACCTGGCACCTTGCGACTTTTATTTATTTCCAAAAATTAAGAACCAGTTACGCGGTCAACAATTTTTATTACCTGAAGAGACTGTCGAAGAGTATGAAAAATATGTTTCCGAGATTGTCACGGAGGAGTGGCACCAATGTTTTCAAAATTGGTTCATTCGTAAGGAAAAGTGCATTAACGCTAACGGAGAATATTTTGAGAAAATTAAAGTACTATTTTGTTATTCCCTCCGGAAACTTATAGTGCGCCCCACGTAATTATAACAAACTAGTGGAGTAATTTCACATAAAATAATTGTTAACTAATTAATCACCACCATTGGTGATGAAACATCCTGATATGCAATAAAAACACTAAATTACATTTTCTTTTAACACTTATATCTGATTTTTTTTTAAATTAAGTATTTGAATTTGCAAATGAAATTGACTAAATACAATCCATGGGTGTTAAAAACCTGATTTTCAGCAATTAGCAAAAAGTGCTTGATCCCTGGATACTTTTGAAGTGTGCATTTTCGTTTCAGATTCTTTAATGACCATTTATCGAAAGTAAATTTTTTCGTTTTGTGATGGTATTGATTGTAACGTGCGATATAATTTTCAAATAAAACAGTTTTTACGAATTGAACGTTCGACGACAAACTTCAATTTCCATAAAAGAAATGTTAGTAAAAGAACACCCAGCTCGCATGCCATAAATATACAAATTTTATTGGAACCTCGCGTCTCAAATTGAGCAATTTAGCGACGTAAACATTCCACGAAGGTATCATTGTACTTTTTGTGAAGTAGTATAGTTGTAATCATAGTAATAACAAACAGTGTTGTCATAAGGGGCAGACTCCTCGCAAAATCAACTCGTAAAAGCAAATAAAAATACGGCAATAAAAATATTGACAATAGCAAATCTCTGCTATAGTTTGATAGTAAGCCATAGTAATTGTAGTGCCACTTAGAGTTTAAAATCGCGAAGATCTGAAGAGCACTGCCACCGCGCCCCAGACCCTGAGACATAAATACATAAGTCCCATGTGCCCCTAATTTCACCACCACCTTTACCCTTCAAAACAGGAATGCGATAATGCTCACATTACCACAAATTACTTAATACGTTACAGATACATCACTCTCATATACAAAAACGAAAATACCTACGCTATTATAGCCTACTAAATCTGACAAATGCCACTAGGCGGTCACTACGTGGAAAAAGGGACCTAAGCCCGCGCCCAGAGAGGTGAAATTAACGTTGCCCGCTGGATGCAGTCATGCGGAGACGAATGTTCATAAATGAAATACTTGTACGCGCACGCGTCGTCACTGCGACGTCAGCGGCAGGCACTTATCGCGAAACCTTGAGCGAGTATCTGAGCCCTGACATTACCACTTGGCGGCAGAAATAGGTAAGGTGGCAGGTGGCTTTACGAACTTTTTCACAAGAAGCTCTACTACCCGCAAAGGTATATTGGAAAGCTTCTTCATATAATAAACTAATGCTTCATCTTGTCAGAACAATTTACTTACATAGGTATTAATATTTTAATTTGCCCTAGAGTGAATTCCATTAGTCCAACACTGCAGTCCAGGCAATTAGTGAAGTTGTATTGTTGTATTGGTGGTGTTGTTAGTACTTGATTATACCGCAGGTCGCTGGTTCGAGTCCAGCCGAATGGAAGGATTTTTTCTTTGTGTTCAATCTTTGTATTAATAATTATATCAAACTAGTGAAGTAATTTTACAATAACTTTTTTTTATAAAAAAACGACCTCAAAATTTCGTGGAATTCTATTTATTTGCCAAGTTTTATTGAAATCGGTTAGCTAAAAGTGGGCGAAACCAGATTCATTCTCTAGTTTGCCACCCTTAGAAGTGGAATATTTCCTTCAAATTTAAATGGGACCAATAATGAGATACCCCCTTTCCAACAAAAAAAAAACAAATGCCGGCCGGAGTAATTGCGTAACATGCAAAAAAACTACAATCCAAATTAGAACCTTGTCCTTTTTTTGAAGTCGGTTAAAAATAGTGACGGAACTTAATATTACACTTATCTGTTTACCACTCCAAATAAATTCCCAAATAATCAAGAGATTCAGGCCTTACCTTGCGGAAGTCCATGTTAATAAAAATGCTAGTAAATTAACTACGCCGCGAACTCAGTGAAAGTTAAGTCGTGCGAAATAGCTGCGCTTGTGTTGAATATTTCTTTCGAGCAGTTAATTTTTCCTCCCTCCGCACAAAACTAATAAAATAAATAACTACAAAAATATATCCGACGCGTGTTTCGCCTCTCTACGAGGCATTCTCAGGTGTTGTTGAGTATTTGATCCTCGGCCGAAAAACCTTCTTTCGAAACTGTTCGCGATTCGCGGAGTTGCAAATTAATTTACTTCCATTTTTATTATTTTCAAATTCAATATTTATTGTGTGATTACTAGTCAATAAAAAACTTTTAATTGAATGAACCATTGACTTACAAATAAATGGACGACGGGTCTAATACAAAAGCCACGAAAAAAATGTCCCAAGTCAACCTATTTAAACGTAGGTAGTGACATGTAAAGGAATATGAAAAAGCTAAAACATTGAATTTAAATTGTAATGTCATCGCAGCACTGTCTAATTTTGCTTACTTCGCTGTCAGTCGAACAAACGAAGACTAAAGCGTGAATGGCGCTCTGTATGCGATTTTAACGCCCTACAAGTTCGGACACTTTTTAGCGCGGACCCGACGTCCATATAATTGTAAGTCAATGGAATGAACCCAATTATTAGCTAGTGCTCGTGGCACAGGTATCCTATAGCTGTCATTTGTCATATATTCTCATTAGTTGATACTTTCTTACTGTTGTACTATATGTATATGTTGTAATATTATTATGCAATTTTTATTTATTTTCATACAGCACTATGCCAACCATAGACAATCCATAATTGTACATTTGAAAACTAATCTCACTTTTTTAACCGCCTTCAAAAAAGGAGGAAGTTCTAAAATCGTCTGTATTTTTGTATGTATGTATGTTACGGAATAACTCTTTTGTGAACCGATTTTGATGATTCTTTTTTGTTTGAAAGAGGGTATTTCGGTACTGGTTCCATTTAAATATGAAGAAAATATTCCACCTCTAAGGGCAGCAAACTAGGGGATGAATTTGAATAAAACTTGGCAAATAGATGTAATTCCATGAACTTTCGAGGTCGGTTTTTTAGTAGATACTCTGTACTGAGATTATGGACTAACATTTTTCAAATAAATAAAGTAAAAAGACATTTATTTATCCACAAAAAAAATAGGAAACACGATACTCAAAAATTTACTGGAAATGCAACTGAATGATGTGGACAAAAAGATAAAAACAGCATCGCTGATTTTCAGCCTTCACCTGTAGCTAGCTGTTCGCTTGCTGCACCAAGCTAAATAATAATAATAATAACGCACGCAGTCAACATTTCCCTGCACTAGGGAAGCCCTGTGTCGCACGTGCTATGGACACTCGTACCTGGGACCACTACGTGGCAGCAGTTAAGTGCGAAGTATAGGTACACCAAGTAATAACTTACCATAAGTAATAAAATAACTAGTAATAATTCAAAGAATAAAGGCTGTGCGTGTAAAGTTTTTTTTTGCTTTTTATTTATTTAAATTAAAATTTAAACTTTTTTGCTACAATTGATTTTAATTGGGGAAGGCCGCGCGGTTGAGCACTGTCGTGACGTCGTTGGTGGTGGAGAGGATCCACCTGCTAGGCCTGAGGGTCTCCATACACAAAACGGAGGCTCTCCTATTTCAAGGCCCGCGCTGAGGTCCCCCAAAAGGGGCCAAGATCACCCTGTTCGAGGAGACGGTCCCAGTCAAGGCTCTGTCGAAATGCCTGGGCCTTGTACTGGACGGGAGGTGGACGTTCAAGGCGCATTTCTCCCAACTTGCCCCAAAGCTGATTAGTACCGCAGCCGCCCTCGGATGACTTCTGCCAAACGTCGGCGGACCGGGCTCAATCTGCAGGTGCCTGTACTCCGGAATAATCCGGAGTATGGCCCTCTACGGCTCACCTATATGGGTAGAAGCTCTCACCGCTCAACTCAAGTCTTTCCTGCGGAGGCCACAGAGGGTTATAGTGGTGAGAGTGATCCGGGGGTACCGCACGGTATCGTGGACGGCCGCCACACTTCTCACGGATGATCCCCCGTGGGAACTTCAGGCGGAAGTGCTCGTGGAAGCGCACCGGTACTGTGTAACCATGCGAAGCAGGAGGGAAAGCCCAGATGCTGAAGAAACAAGGCGGATCAGGAAGGTGGATCAGGGCAGCGGGCCGGGCCGCGTTGTTCCGAAGATGGGCGGAGGACTTGGAGTTTCCAATCGCTGGATCAGTGACCGTGGAGGCCATCCGCCCCCACCTAGTCCGCTGGGTTAACCGGCGACACGGGACACTGGCCTTTAGATTGGTGCAGGTGCTTATATCCCACCGTACGTCTGGACGTCCGATGCTACAAGAGGGCTGGCGGGATGAGCTGGTAGAGCTCATACCCATGAGCTCTACCAGCTCATCCCGCTCACACACACACTCGCCCGCACACTCACCAAAATATATTCTGTAGAAAACCAACAGACAGGCAACTTTGCGACGGTTAGATAAACAATGAAGTTTAGTATAATTATTAATACAAAGATCGAACACTCAGAAAAAACACTCAGAAAAAATTCCTTCGATCCGGTCGGATTCGAACCGACGTCTTCTTGCATACCGTGCCAGACGCTATACCAACTAAGCCACGGAACGAACCAACGGACCTCACGAATTTCTCTATGTGCTTGCGTCGTGTCTTTGTACTTGGTCTTTCAACGACTTTTTAGTCGTAGCGCCATCTATGAGATTTTTTCTGAGTGTTCGATCTTTGTATTAATAATTATAACAAACTAGTGGAGTAATTTCACAAAAAATAATTGAATATCAATTCAATGAAAATTTAATTAACACAGTGAATAGCGACATCTCTCGCCAGGACTGGTAGCTGTAAAGGTACTAACTGGGTGATAAATCTTTAATAGATTTCTCATAGATGGCGCTACGACTAAAAACTCTTTGAAAGGCCAAGTACAAAGACACGACGCAAGCACATGAAGAAATTCGTGAGGTCCGTTGGTTCGTTCCGTGGCTTAGTTGGTATAGCGTCTGGCACGGTATGCAAGAAGACGTCGGTTTGAATACGACCGGATCGAAAGAATTTTTTCTGAGTGTTTTTTCTTAGTGTTCGATGTTTGTATTAATAATTATAACAAACTAGTGGAGTAATTTCACAAAAAATAATTGAATATCAATTCAATGAAAATTAAATAATGAAGTTTAGATTCGAGTTTGTAGTCCCCAATAAGTCTCCTGGCTCTGCGTTCAATCGAATCAAGAGCCTCAAGTTGGTACTTCCCTGAGCCATCTCACAGGTGACTGCAATACTCCATGCAAGATCGGACTTGTATTTTGTACAATGTTAAGAGCTGTCCAGGCGTGAAATATCGCTTAACCTTATTAAAGATACCCACTTTGGCTGCAATTTGTACCTTAGATTCAATATTAGAGACAAAGTTAAGGTCTGCGTGCAAAGTTATGCCATTTACTAAGTACAGAGATTATAATCATATGAATTTCAGCATTCAAGCATCATCTCTGTCACGTATAAAAAAATTCTAAACTTTCACGTTAGGGTATTCCAATCGTGCGTGTCGCTTACCACCAAGCGAACGACTTTTTTGTCCCGTCACTCGATATTATAAAAAAAAATGACCGGAAAAGTGGAATTTGGGATCAACATTTGTCTTTCTATCAAAATGGCCCAGACCTATGAAAGATTAATGACTTTCAGTGCTCACGGTTAAACGAAGGCTACGTTCTACGCTTTCGTGAACATGAAAGAAAATATTGCAATTTTTACAACAACCAATTTTGTTACGGCACAATCTGCCCGTGTCATACTTTCAAGATATTGGCACCATAAGAGTCTTTGCACACGGCGTACTTTATACGCGCCGTAAACTCGCATCATCTGCACGTATACGTGCTGCAGACGCGCTGTAGTGAATCGATAATTGAATGGAATTCCATGTAGTTGCTTCATTTACATTTTTATTGAATTGATATTCAACAATTTTTTATGTGAAATTACTCCACTAGTTTGTTATAATTATTAATACAAAGATCGTACACTTAGAAAAATTCCTTTGATCCGGCCAGATTCGAACCGACTTCTTCTAGCAAACCGCGCCAGACGTGGAACGAACCAGCGGACCTCACGAATTTTTCTCTGTGCTTGTTGTCGTATTTTTTTACATTACTTTACATTTGGGTTTACAACGACTTTTTAGCCGTAGCTCCATCTATGAGAAATCTATAAAAATATATCGTCACCCAGTTAGATACCATTACAGCTACCAGCCCCGGCTTGAGATATCGCTATTTATTGTATTGTATACATTTTTATTGATTTGATATTCAATTATGTGATTTGCTTGCAATTAGTTGCTTCATTTCGAAAATTGACTGAAATTAACAAACAAAGTAAAATTAAAACTATCTCTTATCAAAATGCGCGATACATACGCGCATTTACAGCGCATCTAACGGCGCGTACAAAATACGCCGTGTGTAGGATCTAAGTTTTATAGTGACCTAAAAAAATATCAATTACGTTGGTTTCGCTCAACAATGAAACTGAAACTAAATAAGATATCAAAAACGCTTACAGGGGATATCGTACCCGTAATGGAAGAATGGCGTAAGTGAAATCACGTCAAAAATGTTGGATACAGAAAAATATAACCCACATCCTCTCCAATTCTTGTAACTCTGTGGAAAATATTGCCTGAGTTATGACCAAAAAACTAAAACACTGAAACTGTTTCCTTTTTTAAATTTTATGTCAAAAAACCAGCTAGTCTAACGAAACCGTTAAACGGCGGCAGAAATAGGTAATGTGGCAGTATTCTTTCATAAGCAGCTCTACTGCTACTAAATATTACTAAAGACTAAACCCTCTCTGTAGAGAAAACGTTTAATAAGTTGACTAAAACAGTATTTATTTATTTATTTATTTATTACACATTGCTTACAGTCAACCCAAACGCAATAGTAAGACTTAAAGCTAAATGTACAATCAATCTTAAGTCAATTACAAAAGTGAATAAAATATGAAAATTGATAAAATTATAAATACAATACCATAAACAATAAATTATTACAGATTAACATTAATGACAAAAAAAAGGATAAAAACCATTTGTTATTACATTTTCAACTAACATTTAATACTACTGTCTCCGGTCAAGGACTCCAGATAGCGTCCTGCGGAAAATATGAATTTTGTTTCTGAGCATGCAAAGAGGTCCAATGAGGAGTCGAAGTTAAGCAACTGATTTAGATACCTAAGTGCACGGGGCAGGGGGGGCCATCTCACTCACTCTACATCGTGTGGTAGGTATTGCATATAACCTCATTCTATGAAGTCGCACCAGATTAGTTCTAGGTACCATAAAGCCTACCTTGGACAACAAAAATGGGTTGTATATTATTCCCCGTACCAGATGAAATACATACGTTACAAGAATAGTATAGTATATATAGTATAGTATGTAAAGAATAGTTATGCATTTTGCTCGCATTCCATTGCAACTTTCCTGGTTTGTTCTACGAAGTGCATTTCCGTGCACCGAGACTCGATTGGGCTGCAGCGGATGCAAATCAACTTACGTTGTCGTGTGAAAATTGAATTCCTCTCTTCAGCCTTTGCCTGTGCTAACTAGCTACCGGGCAGTCGATTCTTACAGCTAGCCGAAGGGGGAAAAAAGTTTTAATATACAAAATTTTAAACAAAGATATTTGTGTACCAAAAATGATACCGCAAAAAACGACAAAACTACTGAGTTTCGTTTTATTAAACTAGGACATTGAATAGATATTGATCATAGGAAATGAAACTATTTTTTCCGGATTACAATCGCGTATATTTGTTTTT